ATAGTATAAATCTTAGTCCTCATAATGGTCTACACTGTGGCAGAGTTTTGAGCTCACATTTCCCATACAACTTTGGAATGTCTATCAATGGACATGTGACAATATGCCAGGAGCAAACAACAGTGTAGGAGGCTTTCACAACACAATACACAGCTCAGTGGCAAATATGCATCCTAGTATTTGGAAATTGATACCTCTCTTAGTGAAGGAGGAAATTTTAGCAAAAAAAGAAAAAGTGAGATGCTGAACAAGGAGATGAGTCAACAAGCAAAAAAAAAAAAATTGTATAATGCTATGAATGAAAGACTTTGAAGACAAGTGCTTAGGGTACAATCCACAACATAAAATCAGTTATTTACACAGCATGGCCATGAATCTACACTATGCATTTTAAATTCAAATATTTGGATTTTGCAATAAGGTCATATTTAATTTTGGTATTCATTTTCCATGTTTAACTATGCCCTCTTTAATGAATGTCCTTTTATTTTTTTGTGATTTTATCTTTCGTGGCAAAATTGCCTATGGCCAATTAATCATGCAGTGGAAATGTTTGCGGTGAAAATGCTTGGAGCACAGATTCTTAAGGTGAAACTACCTAGAACCACCTGGTACACCGTCAAAATGGCATTCCAGATAATGTCTCCTCCCCCTACCAGTCCTTGTCCACTTATAACAGAAAGACAGTTTGGAATCAGAGCAGAGAGTAGAGGGTCCCACTCTGGACTATATAGCCTGATGTCAATTGTCCTGCTTTAAGGGCACTGATACTTATAATGGAGTCTGAGGTATAGTTGCCAGTCTCTGTTTAAACTCTAGTCTGCTTCATCTAAAGGCGGGGCACTGACTCCCATATCAGTGCTTGCACTTGACTCTCCCAGGCTTTCAAGCGGGACCTTGATATGTGGGCACTGACCCTTGTTCACCTCCACCTCTCATCTGTTCACCGCGTGTATCCTGCTGCTCTGGACAGAGTTCAGAATTCCGCTAGTGGAATCCTGGCCCCCCTCACTTCCATTGTGACTCTGCCTATATACCCTGCCCTTTCAACAAAGCCTCACTGCTATAATGGGGCACTGACACTTCAGGCTGGCAGGATCGAGACAGAAGTAGCAAAGCCAAAAGCCACGCCTGGACAGGCTTTAGACCCTGAAAGATCATGGGTAAGGCAAGAAAAACTAGACTGACAATTAGGCACAGAATTGTGGATTGTGGCCCTGGCCAGAGTCAAAGACCAGAAGACACTAACTCTTTCCCACCCTCCTTATGTAACTTCAGTGTTAAGCCTAGAATACTGGGTCTCTCTTCTGTCCTGAAGGAGTTTGCTTATTCATTTAGTCAGTCAAGCTGTCTGTGCTCTCTGAGCACCTATTCTGGGCCAGGCCTTGTACGAGGACTAGAAATATAGGTGAAAACCTACAGTCTAAGAAGAATACAAGTGAAAAGTCCACTATTATAATGCATTGTACTGTGAGAGGAGTAGCAAAGGAGTCAGAGAAACAAAGAGGAGGAGACCCTAGACAGGCAGAGGAAGTCAGGGACAACTGTTTGGTGGAGGTGACACTTCATTGTAGCCTTTAAATGAGAATGAGTCCCATAGCTGAAGGTCCCACTCCATAAGGACTCATACAGGATTCTTGCCTAGAAGTTGGAGTAGTCTCAGGTTTCATGAAGGGTGAGAAAATGAGTGGAATGTGCTCTCTGGTTCTCCCACATTTAAATGGCTCCACCCTTGCCTTGTAGTGAGATTGACCATGAAGCCAATTTCAGATCCCACTACTGAAACCAGGCTCTCAAGGGTTGTGGCATCTTGCTGGTGCCTATTCTCAGGGATACTTCCTAGCCTCACAAGCTTCTGTTTCTTGGTCTTCACCACTCATGACTTCTGTCCTACCCCTTTCTCCTGATTCTTAGAAAACTATAGGCAGCCCTTCTCAAGTTCATAGATAGCATCAGTTCAGGAACACCAGGAACATAAAGGGAAATAGGAAGGTGCCAAACTGGAAAAGTGAGGAAAACCCTCCTCCTGGTCCCAGAGCTGCCCAACCTCCTCCTCCTCTTCTTGTCCCTTTAACAACCACATTTTCTTAGGTGCTAGTCCTCACCATCTATTCTATACCTGGCCAATCATCTTCCCTTTCCCTCAACTTAGACACTTCAATGAAACAAAACAAAGTGAGGCTCTAATGTGGGAAGGGGAGAAAATGAGAATCTTAATAGCCACAGAGAACTCAGCAAGATTCGTGTTCGTCTTCAAGCAAAATTTCATTTCGAATCTTCCTGCTCAGAAACCACTTCAGAAACTGAAGACTGTCTTCAGTCATTTCTGACAGGCTAACAGAAATGGAGTAGATCCTGGGGTGGGAAAGGAGCTGAAACACTTGTGGGATACTGAGAAAATCCGATGGGGAAGATGTCTCAAAGGGTGGAGATCATGGGTGGAGTGAATACACTGGGGAAGAGGTGAGACCACAGGGGCTGAGGGGGGTGCTTAGGCTATTTTTCCTTCTCACTCTTCCCTGTTAATTCCTCCACACTCAGGTCTCCATATTGGCTGGCGCTGCCCCCATTATCTATGGGACTGTTTCCAAATTGGAGATGAATCCAAATGCTTTTGTGGACACTTGTTGAGAGAGCACCAGATCGTCTCAGGTAGGGAGAACTGACCAGCCCCTGTCCATGGGAAGGGAAAACTATACTCGGGCCATGTGTTGGGATGTATGAGAGAAAGTGTGTGTGTATTGGTATGGGGGAGGGGGACTGGCACAGGAAGGCTAGGCCCTATTAGGTGCCAGTCTAATCCTCCCATCCATCCCCATTCCCATAGACATATCTGTGCCCTGCAATGTGGGCCAGTGCCGCTGCCTCATGTTCTGCTTTATCCCATCACGCCCAGAGGAGGTGGGTGAGTTCTGGCTTAAAAGACGAGCTACCTTTGACCCTAAGGCCTGGAGGGCCCAATGTCGCTGCAAACACAGCCATGAAGACCATGCAGCTACTGGGTCCCATTCCTGCAGGGTGAAAGGTAATTTCTAGGGTGAGGGGAGTACAGGGGTGGGCATGGGTAGGATGCACATGGTTTGGGGATGAGGATGGGGGAACTGGTAGGAGAAACTTGGGTTTGTGGTTGGTGAGGAAGAGAGGAGAACATAGTCAGCCCGTGGGAAAGCGCCAATTCCCTATACTTGTCTTGGCTTTCCCCTTGCCCTAGGCTGTTGCTGCAACTGCTTTGAGTCTAATTTCCTCTGTGCGGCCTGTGACCGGCGCTGGGAGGAACATGAGACTTTCTTTGAGACTGAGGAGACCCGGCGACGAGGAGGGAGGCCTCACGGTAAGGGGGCAGGGGCAACCTGGAACGGGACCATTCCAGGACCATAGTCAGAAGGCCAGGCAGGAAGGTGCTCCCACCCTCAGTCATTCCATCCTGGACTACCTCTCTCTCTCAGCGCCTGCATCCCAAACTTGCACCAGTCTCCAACCCCAGGAGCAGACTGTGTGCCTTTTGCAGAGATGCCTACACTCTGAGAAGCCATAGTCAGGAATTCTGACTCTGAGGCTTTACAGACACAGGGGCCCTCCGGCCATCCCAGCACCCATCCCAGACCTCCTGGGCTCCCTGGCCCACACAACCTGTGGCCTGGCCCTAAATTTGACCCCCATACCTGACCCTTTCACCTCTGCTTTTCCCTCCTCCAGGGACAGACACTGTCAACACCTGGCGCAAGCCTCTCTGAGCCTGGCTCGAATCAGCAATAAAGAAAGGGGAAGCCACTGGAATCTGGCCTGCTTCTGTATGGGGTGGACAGAACCCAGTCCAGTGACAAACACCCTAGGACCTTAGAGTTGGTACCTGTTGGGAACAAGAGAGGGCACCGCACAGGAGAGAGGCTGGATCAAAGCATCTGCCTCCACCACACCCACACTCAAGCTGCTAGCTCTGGCATCAGAAGGAGAGTGGCTTCAAGGAAGCCAAGGAGGGAGGGGGGTTTAAGAAGGATAGGGGAAACACTGATGTTAGATGCAGTTGGGGACTCCAGTAGGATAAAGACTGAAAAGTGTCCATTGGATCTTACAATTAGAAGGTCTTCATATAATGTAGTTTCAGTGATGCAGTGGAGGTAGAAACCAAGTGGTAAGTTTGAAAGAGTTTCTTTAAGAAGCTTGGATGAAAAGAGCAGGAGAGAAATCAGACAATATCCAGAGGGGGATGTGCAGTCAAGGAAGCATTGTTTAGGAGGGAAGAAAGGAAGGGACCAGTAGAGAAAAAGATTTTGAAGATGCAGAAGAAAAACAGAGATACCTGGTGAGACAAGATGCCAAAGATGGAGGGAGGGAATGAGGTCAGGGCAGAGGTGAAGGGATTTGTTCTACACAGGAGAAACACCGCTTCCTAAGACCAAGAGGAAGGAAGAAATAAAAGGATGGGGACTTCCCTGAGCTGCAGGGAGGAGGATCTTGAAGTTCCCCTGCGAAGTAGGAGACAAGGTCAGTTGCTGGTGGGGGAGGAGAGGGATAAGAGTGGGGAGTAGGAGATGGGAAGACAGAGGCGAAAGTGTGGGAAGGCTAAGGTGGGGAACTGGAGAAAAACCTGATCAGTGGATAGTTGAGGATTCAGGGACAGCTGAAAGCAGGAATCTAGTTAAAGAGGAAGAGAGAAACAAAATAGATTGATGGTGATGGAAGGTATCAGGGAGGATGATCAGGAAAATAAAGCAAAAAAGAAGGCTTGAGGATGTGGAGAGAGCTGACCATACAAATGGAAAGAAAGTGAAGCTAGGAAGCAAATGACAGATTGAATAAAGGAACAGTCAAAGGACTAGAACACTCTAATAAGGTGCAGTAGCAGCTGTAGTGGTAGGGATCAAAGCATAGGAGACAGTGGTCAGAACCTACAGAGAGGTGCAGCTCTCAGGTGAGAAAAGCTGCCAGGGATCACAAAGTTTGGAGTAAAAACTGTAGGCCAGGGGCCAAAATCAGTGAATCATAGATTATTTTTATGCGGAGTGGGAGATTCTGGCACTAATTGGTTCTGTGATCCTAGGCATATCATCACTTTCCCTCTCTGGGCCTCAGTTTCTGGATCTATAAAAGAGGAATAATCTCTGTGCTACTTGCTCTCCCTGAGAACCTAAAGAAATCACCAGTTTCAAAGTGCTTTGTAGTCACCTACCCTGCCTGGCTGGTTTCCTTCCTCTTCCTAGATCCCAGCTCTTTTTATCTCTTGAACTTCTCCAGCGCAGCTCTAGGGGTTGCTGCTGTCTCAGAGGCACCAGGAGAACTGCATACAGCCTCTAGGGCACAGAGAAAAGGCCAGTCAGTATACATTTCCCCACATTTGGGGAAGCTATCTGTCCTTCCAAAGGAAGGAATGCAATCTGGACTGCTAGAACTCCTAGGGGAAATTACAGGGTCAAATGTCTGCCCATTGGAGGAAAAAGGCCTTTCTAACAATAATATGGCTATACAAAAGATTATTCCTATCTCCAGAAGTAGAGTTCTTCTTGACTGGTGATATGCAATTAGTGCCATAATGACCATTCACTGAAACGAATTCAATAGTCAACAGTAAAGGAATGGTTACTGTAATAAACTCATTCAAGGAAGTAATATGCAGACATTACAAAGTATATTTACATAGACTATGTAATAATATGGAAAATTGATTGTAAGGGGCAGAATAGGAATATACATCCAATACATATGTACTTTATATAATGAACGGAAATGAAACACCAAATGTTATTCATTCCACAATCACTGATGTGCTAAAACAACAACAACAACAACTACAACAAAAACCACCTAAAGATACAGTGGTGGCTTTTGTCCTAAGTGTTAACTGTCGGGCTAAACCTTGGTTGGGTAAGTATATTAGCATTTTGTGACCCCTGTTCCTTAGGTCAAAAATATATATTCCAACAAAATGAAATATACTTCTCACCCAGCAATGACACACTCCCGTTGTCCCTCAAACCCGACTAACTGAAAATACCAGGTACGAGGCTGTTTCATACACCATTTCTGATTAGAAAAGAACATTGGATACCTACTCCTTTGCTTGTTAGTCGTGCGCAAAGACAGGTCACTATCGCCGCCTCCCGTTAAAAAGAAGAAGAGGAGGAGGGGGGGGAGGGGACGGGGAGGGAGAGGGAGAGGGGAGGGGGAGGAGGAGAAGAAGAGGAAGAAGAAAGCAAAAAAAAAAAAAAAGTCCTGAAAACGAACTGCAGAATCTTGAATGTTGGAGTATGCACACAAGAACATAAACAAGGGACTGCCCTTAGATGACTAAGTTAAAAACCTCTGAAATGCTCAAGGGTCTGAAATGCCCTCGTGGGGAAAACGCTGGCTATCTTATCCCTCCAGTTAAATACAGAGAACTGAGGGTTGATGGGGGTTGGGGTGGAAGTGGGAATGGCCATCACTGGCATTGAGGAGGGCACTTGGGATGAGCACTGGGTATTGTATGTAAGCAATGAATCATGGGAATCCACTCCCGAAGCCAAGAGCACACTGTATATATACAGTGTATGCTAGCGAACTTGACAATTAATTACAAGAAGAAAAAAAAAAAGATAAAAGGACCGGTCTCAGTTCACCTTCAGCCTCACAGGGCAGGCATTCCCGCCCCCTTCTTCCGGGACTCCTAAAACCTTGGCCTCCAGGGGTTGCGTTGATTCCCGGAGCCAGCCAGCGCCGAGTGCCCGCCCACAGAACCCGCCCTCCTCCTGACCAATGCGGGGAGAGGGTCTACGATGTCAGAGGCTCGGCGCCGCACCAATGTTTTGCAGCAGAGCCAAACGGAGTTAAATCCCACGTCTCTTAATCCTTCCAATGGAGTGAGAAAGTCTCTTGGGGAAACACTTAGGGGGCCCAATGGCAAAGGAACTTTCACTCTGACCAGAAGTCGAAGCCAATGAAGTGGAAAACTAGCCCACGAGCTGGCAGAAGCAGCCAATGGGATGAAAAGATTCCGCCCCCACCGTGGCGGCGGAGCCAGTGGAGTGAATGACACCACCCTCTGGTCCAAAGGACCTCAAGAGAAGCCCAGGAACGCGGCCAATGGGATGGCAGGGCTCGCTCGCGGCCTCCAGCGGAGCCAATGGCCGTCGTTTGCCGGCTCCGTGGCGGCCCCCACCTCGGGCGACTGCGGGGCCTGCTTGCTGGCCAGAGGAGAGATTCGGCGGCTGAGGGCAAGATGGCGGCGGCCCTGGTGCTGGCCGCCGGGCTGCGCGTGGCGCGCGGGGCTGTAGCGCTGGTGGGGCCGCGGGGGGCGCAGGTGAGGAGCGGCCGCGGGGGCGCGGAGGGCGTCCCGCGGGCTCTGCTGCCCTCCGGGGCCGGCGTTCTCCCCCAGGCGCGTGCAGCCCATTGGCCTCGCGGGGACGGAGCCCGAGCGTCTGGCAGGGAATGCTGCCTCTCCTGGAGGCGCAAGCTCCAGGGCCGCTTGGCGAGGTCGGGCTGGTAGTCGGCAGCAGCCTCTCGGCGGTGGCTCGGGCGCCCAGGTGGCGACAGGGTCGGTGCGTTGGCTGCTGCCTCCTAAAACCGAACGCCTGTTCCGGGCAGCCTCCTGAGTGCCCCCTGCAGGAAATGAGGTTTGTCTTCTCGGAGCCAGTCTCCTGCCCGCCTCAGACCCCTGGCCTTCTGAACACGTGTTAATCTCTCATCTTCCCATTTACCAGAGGGGTCAGGTTCATCCCAACTCTTTCTCCCATAGTGTGACAGCACTGACTTGAGCCTTCTCTGAGCCCCCGGAAACGGGCATCCCTACCCTCAGTCCCCTGCGGCTGTCGTTGCTGAATTCACTTAACTCTTCCTTTCACTGATTCAAGGAACTGGAGTTAAAATTCACAAAAGAGCTCAGATGTAACACCAAGACATGTTTGTGTCAAACAGGGAAATTGTGTGAAAACCTGAATAAAACAGGTAAAATACCTTAGAGATTAGATAACAAGTAATGGAAATAAGTGGAAACTTAGTAACGGGGCTTGAGTACAGGGAAAGAGCTCCAATGGTCTTAAAAGATGATGCAGAAAACTTTATATTTGAAGCCAAGAGGAGGGATTTATTTAAGGTAATTCCGTGATAAAAGAGGAACCAAATCTTAAGTTTCCAGTTCTCATCCTGTGTCCTTTCTCCTGAACAGTGCTAAATTTACTAGACACTTTAGGAACAGGAATCAATTGCAGTACTGAATCCTGTATTGTATCTAACCAGGCTCAGCACTATCTGACCCTACTCTCTACTGCTGACATTCTGAAATTGAGGAAATTTTCCTTAGGATGGGAGCCACTAATAGGTTCTTAGAAGGGTGAAGTTAATGATTATCAGAGCCCGGCCTCTGCCAGCTCCTGACTATATGGGAGAGGTATTGTCAACCCCCTCCCTTGGGTATGTCTGACCCACCTTCAGGTCCGAGGAGCTGCAGGTGTGACCGATGGAAATGAAGTATCCAAGGCCCAGCAGGCAGCTCCTCAGGGAGCAGCCCCAACTATCTTCTCCCGGATCCTGGATCGAAGCCTCCCAGCTGACATTTTGTATGAGGACCAGCAGGTGGGGTGCCCTTAGGACCCATCCCCTTGGGAATTTAATAGGTACCATCAGCCTGTTGAAGTAACAAGGTGGCCTCTGGCCTTTCACTGCTTCCAGTGTCTCGTATTCCGTGATGTGGCCCCTCAGGCTCCTGTGCACTTCCTGGTCATTCCTAAGAAGCCCATTCCTCGGATTAGCCAGGCTGAAGAAGAAGACCAGCAGGTGGGAAGAATAGAGCCCAGGTTTGGCTTTGGGGGGAACCCTGGACTCAGCTAGAGGTTTTGCTCCCTGTGAATGAAGCCACCCATCTCCCTCCCTTTCCCTCTAGCTTCTAGGACACCTTCTCCTTGTGGCTAAGAAGACAGCAAAGGCTGAGGGGCTGGGAGATGGATACCGACTTGGTGAGTGACTTTTGGCCATTGAGCCCCTTGCCTATGAATTCTCATACCTACCCTTCAATATGATCTTTATTCTTTGACCTTTCCCGTGATCCTGACCCCCTAACCCCAAGCTCCATTTCAGTGATCAATGATGGGAAGCTGGGCTCACAGTCCGTGTATCATCTACACATTCATGTACTTGGGGGCCGACAGCTCCAGTGGCCTCCAGGTTGAACCTTCCAACTGACCAAGAACCCAAGACCTGGATTCTTGGAGGATGGGGGAAAAGGGACCCTATGATGCTAATAAACTTGTTCTCCCTCAATTTTGGATCACTGTCTTAAATATATAAAGATTTATATCACAAATAGAAAACATTAAAGATAATGATTCTGTGGTACCTGGCTGGCTCAGTTGTTGGAGCATGCAACTCTTGATCTTGGGCTTGAGTTCGAGCCCCACGTTGGGTGTGGCGATTACTTAAAAATACAATCTTAAAAAAAAAAAAAAAAAGATTATGGTCTTGACTATGGTCTGAGTGAGAGACATTAAGGAGGCCCATCCTGTAGTGAAAGAAGCATTTGCCTATAGATTTGTGAGTCCTCATGACAAATGGTCCACCTGGGTCAAGCTTCTAGAAAAATAGCAATAGAAATAAGCCTATATGAGTAGGGAGAGACTGAAACCCAGGGGTAAGACACTCAATCCTGGCCCTTATTCAGATGCCAAGAGAAGTTCTAGGGTGGTCTGGGAGGAGGATGGTTAACGTGAGGGTCTTTTACTGAAGGAGAAGTAATCACACCAAAAAAAAAAAAAAAAAAAAAAAAGCTGCCACTCTTTGATCCCCATGTCTCACCATTTTGCTTTTTAGTTGTTTGATGTATTTTAAACCTTAAACTTTTAAAAGACTCCCTGCCCCACCCCATTTTTTAGAATGAACTGCAGGTAAGTTACTGTTGCCCCTACACAAGTACACTGTCTGATACTAAAGCCCTGTGCTTGTCTCCAACACAAAGAACCACCTTAGAAAGCCTCAGAAAGAATCATGCTTAAGTGTAGAAGGCAGAACCCTAGACTAGCGGAACCTTAAGAGCTGGGCTGAGGCGGAACGGAGTCTGAACGGAAAGCAAACTTCCTAGACTTCCCCAGGTTTAAGACTTCCGCCCCGCAGAGAATTTGTCTCCACCCCCACCCAGCACTTCCGCCCAACTCTAGTCCTGCGCAGTCTCCTGAATTATTTGCCGTCTCTATGGCAACCCGGTAGCTGGAGATTGAAGATGGAGACCGCGCAGTCTACCAAGGGATCGAGATGTCGGTGAGAGCGGCAGCTTTGGCGGCTGGTGTAAGGGGACAAGAAAGGTCAGCGGATTTACACCGCTTTTGACAACTTTGTCGCATTCGCTTTCTTTCAGATCTTTAGATGTACAGCCTGGCACTGAAGGACTAGGGTCCACTTCAGAACCATTTTCTTCGGATGGCCATCCTATAACGGCCCTGGCAGCCGCAACTACAGCAGCTGCGGCCTCCTCCACCGACAAAGCGACTGTGTTATCCGCAAAGACCCCAGCGTGCCACTCTGAGCCGAACCTTCTCATGAACCACTCCTCTGACAGTCTTCTGGGGGATCCCTGCACTGGAGCCAGCTTTACCCACAGCATTGGCCATGGGAAACTTGGCATTGAGCCTATCTATGTTTCCCATATTGCTCAGGATCCCTGTACTACAAAAGACCTTAGCTCTAGTCCTGGCCCTATTCTTGGCTCCAGTTCTGGTTCCTGCCATGGCTCTGGTCAAGACACTGGTCCTGATTCTGGCCCTGGTCCTGCTACTGACGCTGGGCCTAGTCCAGGCTGTGGCCATGACCGTGAGCCCAGCCCCTACAATCTTACAAGTTTCAGAACCCCCCAAGCAGATCTGGTCCCTAATTATGCCTCCTGGAATCACTACTGCCACTGGGAACCGCGGAAACAACCCTGGAAATTTTTGCAAGTCTCAGAACCTGGTGCCCGAGGGCATTGGAAGACCCCTGAGGTTGAAGGGAAGTGTAAGGTTCCCAATGAAACATTGCCACGGGGCCACAGCCTTCTCTACAACTGGGAGGAGGAGGTATTAAGGTTTTGACCTGCTCCCTTTTCCTGAAGACTGTCCCCAATTTCCTGGGGGAGGCAGTAGTTTATGATGAGGGTGGGTGCCATAAAGGACATCCTGGTCACTCAACTTGGGGCCCACAGAGAGCCACCAACCACCTGGATCAAGTCCCAAGCATGCAGGATGGCTCTGAGAGTTTCTTCTTCCGACATGGACACCAGGGACTGCTGACCCTGCAGCTACAGTCACCCATGTCCTTCAGCACCACTCAGAAAGACTCATACCAGCCCCCACGAAACTGCTATCAGCCAACTCGAGGTGTGAAACATGAGAGAATGGGCCAGAATGAGCAATCAGAGATAAAAGAGAGGAAGGAATTTCTAGTGGGACTATGGATTGTTTAATGGGTACAAGGGTAAAACCCCATGATTTTCCTTCTTTTCTCACATTTGTTTCTTTGGGCCTGCTTGTTAACCAGACTCTCCCACTCTCTCCACTCCCTGCCTTCCTACAGGAAAGCGTGAAGCCATGCTGGAGATGCTCCTGCGCCACCAGATCTGGTGAGAGGCTGGGCAAAGGGTAAAGGGGAGGCGGGGAAGACAAAAATCAGGGAAGAATGGCTTTGACGCCCCCAGGACTATACAGTAAAGAGGTGCAGGCAGAGCAGGAAGCCACAAGGAAGCAGTTTGAGGTCGAGTCTGTGACACACCATGACTACCGAAAGGAGCTGGTGCAAGCCGGGCCTCCTGCCCCAACCAAGGTGAGAACTTATCCCACCCTGCTTGTACGGCTGGGCTCTAATGGGCTGTGGGAGAGCAGCAGAGGTTAAGAGAGGGAGCTTCAAACCAAGAGTTTTTCAGTATCTTTCCCTTCCAGCCTCACGACTACCGTCGGGAGCAACCTGAAACCTTCTGGATACAGAGGGCACCACAGCTACCGGTGTGTGAGGGTGTCAGGTGTCGGGGAAAACAAGGAGGGGGAAGAGGCTGTTCTGTTCTGGCTTGGTGCAGAGCGGGATCTGTCCTCATTCTGGCCTTCCTCCAGGGTGTCAGTAGCATCAAGACTCTGGACACGCCATTCCGGAAGAACTGCAGCTTCTCAACACCAGTGCCTCTGTCTCTGGGGCAGCCTTTGCCCTATGAACCTGAGAATTATTCCCACCAACTGGGAGAAATATCTTCCCTTGTCTGTCAGGGAGGAGGACAGGGAGGTGGAATGGGTGGAACTACTATCTAAGGGTTGAGGAGGGAAGAGGGATATGGACTATGGAATCGATTTCTGTCTGTACTGGAGAGGTGGAAAGGAAGTGAATTCTGTCTACTTGGTGAAGAGGCTTCACATAAAGGGTTCTCTCTCATCCTGAGACTGCTAATTCAGTGATTCTGTGAGTAACCATGTTCCTTGGATTTGCCCCTAACCCAGACTCTGACACCATGACATTTTTTGTTGTTTTATATTTGGCCAAAATATTCTGGTTTAGATACAGATATTTACAGAAGGTAGGGAAGAAGGGAACCAGGCCAGAGGGAGGCAGGTATATGTACAAGGCTGAGCTGCAAAGGGCAACGACTTCCTTACAAAGTAGGGTTTTTGTGCACGTTGGTTTCCATCTTACATGACAGTGTCCGTTTCCGGTGTGTAGAGAGATGGTGACTGCTGCCCACCCAGGTACCAGCAGCAGGAGATTGTCTCACTTAGGAAGAAGTAGGGTTTACAGGAGCCCAGCAGGGCCTTTCCGCTCTCCTAGGAGCCAGTAAGTTCGCATCTTTCCTTTTCCCTGGAAGTGGGGGAGTGAAGATAATTCAGATTCTTCTATGTTATTCTTTTTATCTCTGTCTTTTCCCCATGATCCCCATAATTGTTTTCATCCTCCCTTTCCATGACCCCTCCCCCATGGCCTGCCATCACCTTCATCTCCACATCCCCCCGAAGCTCTAGCTGGAAGCATCCTAGCTCATCCAGGGCATCCTTGGTGGTAGAGGAGACATGGATCTTCAGGGCTGGGGTGGGATGGGGTGCCGGGATGGTGGAAAAATGAATCAAAGAAAAGACAATAGAAGAGTTGGCAGTACTGGAGAGAGCTTTACCAAACCACCACCCCTCAGGAGGCTCTCAGTCTTCCCGGGGCACATGCACTAGAACCAAAATATGTCCAAGAATGGGGCGGTCAGGAACTGTGGTCTCTCAGACTGAGAGATTTGGAAGAACTCTGAAAAGAAGAAAAGGGCACCACAAATTGAGGCTGAGGCTGAGGTGGAGGGCTGCTGTTTTACCTTGACCATTAGACTCCATTCGGGAGGCAGTGTTCACCGTGTCTCCAAAGAGACAATAGCGGGGCATCTTCAGGCCAACAACCCCAGCACAGACGGGCCCTGTGAGAAGAAACAGGTTGGGAGAGCCTGGGAAAAGCAGATACGAGGGACGGAGTGAGAGTCAGCCTTACCCGTGTGGACCCCTATGCGTAGCCTCAGCTGGTCATGGGGTCGGTGGCGGATGCGGAAGGAAGAAACTGCATCCAGTAGTGCTAGAGCCATACGAGCAATTTCCGGGGCATGACGTTGACCATTTCGGCCTGGGAGACCAGACACCACCATGTAGGCATCTCCAATCGTTTCTACCTGATTGAGATGGGGTTTAAAAAGTCACCTCTATGTGTATCAGTGGGAATGGGTAAGAGCAGAAAGAGACAAGCTGGACACCACTATGAGCCATCCCAGCAGCCTGGGAGGCCAGAGCATCGACTGGAAAATGAGCGCTGTGGTGCTGAGAATCGGGTGGGGTGCGGGCAGAGTTTCAGGGCATCTTTAAATCCTCCCACAACCACCCCTGTACCTGGTGAACACTCAGTAAGCATTTGCTGAGGGAATGGATACCCTGTCTGCAACAAGATGTGAACAAATAGGCTCTGCTGTCAGGAGGTGGGAAGCAAGGAAACAGGCCTAACCTGAAGAGCACAGAGGCCGGTGAGGTCAGGCAGGCCCAGTGAAATAGGCCTCAGACAGCCTGAACTATCCAAGGTAAGAAAGCAGACGCTTGGCTGTGTTAATTGTACTGAAGCTATACAAAAGAATGTCCTGTTTTTAGGAACTAGACACTGAACTGTTTAGGGATAAAGGGGCACTATGCCTGCAACTTACTCTCAAATGGTTCAAAAAGTAATTAGGTTGATAGATATATTTTTAAAAAATGAAGCAAATGGGGGTAAAGTATGAATAATTGGTCAATCTGAGTAAAGGGTTTATTGTCACAATAATAACAGACGTGGTAGAATAAGTCCAAATAAAGGGACAGGAACACATATATATTGTTGGTGTAATGTTAGACATTTCCACAATAAATCTATTATTCCCATCTTCTAGGTAAAATACCTGAGGCTCAAGGAGCTTTACAGTTACTTGTCCAAGGCCACACAGTCACAAAGTCAACACCTAAATCCTGATGATTTTTACTGCCAGGCACAGTAAATAAAGCCCACGCCGTGCCAACTCATGACTTCAACAAAATTTTTTTACAAGGTAGCTTGTTCCTCAGCCCCATAAGTCATTCTGTACCTACATCCCATATGATTCGTCCATGTCTAAGAGAGAATGGGGGGAAGAGAAAAGACGATAGACAACATTTATACCCCTAGGCAAAAAGTGGCAGATAGGCTCTAGATCCTGTGATGGTTCCGATTAGGGCAGCTTGAGGATTCACAAGAAATTAGACTAGGATGTACAATTAGAGTGCCAGAGCCTTGTCTGTCTACAAAGGGCACCCAGTACTAGGGTGCTGGAGACCCAGGAGGGCAAACTGCCAATGGAGCAGGTAGGTATGTAGGGTTTGGGGAGACTGGGTTTTAAAGGGGTCTCAGTAGGAGGGTAGCCCTGGCTCTCACCTTGTAGACGTCAAAGTTGTCAATTATGGCATCAAAGCAGGTATACAGGTCATTAAGAAGTGTCACCACCTAACAGGATGGGAAAGTAGAGCCCCTGAGACCTGTGCCTAACTTTCTAAGAATTCTTAACCCATAAGCTAGAACAAAATATGGGAACTCCAGAACAAAGGAATCTCCCCTATTGTCAAGGATTCCTATGCCCCAGTGAAGTTCCCCAGATCCCTATCCCACCCCCTACTTCTCACCCATGGCTCTCACCTGCATGGGGGTGCTCTCTGCTGACAAAGCTGTGAAGCCAACAATGTCACTGAAGTAGATGGTAACACTGTCAAAGGCCTCAGCCTGTACAGTCTCTCCCCGTTTTAACTGCTCTGCCACTGAACTAGGAAGCAAGGGTGCAGTATGAGCCAAACTGAGAGAAAGAGGATGAGAGGGGGAGAGAAAAGGGGTATATGGTTGAGCAGAAGAGGAATTATGAAAGCTAAGCCTGGTAGAAGAGGAGGAAGGTGGCTGGGAAGACATTACAGACTAGCTCAAGTAAAGCATTTTAAGTGGTGGGGGTTGGAAGGGGACCCCAGGGATGGGCACTAAGTGTCTCAAGTTGGGATTGTTCTACATACACTTGCCGGTGCAAAGGCATGGTAGAGCAGTGTCCTAAGAAGAAGGGATAGGAATCAGAGAGAAGGCAGCAAAGCTCATTTGAAGACAAAATGAAAACACACTGTGTAAAGCCAGAAAGGCTCACTGTGTCAAGATATAACAAAGCAGCATTCTAAGAGTTGGGAAGTGAGTTCTTGGGAGCTTGATCAGGCAGAACTCAACAGAGTAGAATATCAAAGGAAGGTTCAGGAAGGGTGACAAATTCTCACTGGGGTAGAATTTGGTAGAGCAGAGCCTCAGCCTTGCGTTTCTCCTCCAGATAGGCCTGTGTGCGCTCCTCCACCAGCTTCTCCAGGTTATTGGCATACTGCTCCATGCGCAACAGCAGGTTGTCCAGTATGCTCGTGCCGCCCTCCCTGGGGGGAGGCCAGAATATGGTACCTGCTCCCAGATTCTCAAGACTCCCAGGACTTCCTACCCAACCCACCTTCTTGGCCCCACCAGCCCCACACACCTCATCCACCAAGACTGATGAGGCTTCTATCCCTGGGGAGCCCTTGCCCCCTAAGTGCCCTCTCACTTGTTAAAGCGGCGAATGAACCCCTTAATTTGTCCAAAGTCTGGCCGCTCAGCTGGTTCTTGGGCCCAACATCGCTCCATCAGCAAAACCAACTCTTCATTCAGTTGGGTCCGGTCAATGCTCGGCCGGAAATATGGCCGTTGACCATTTCGGACCTTCTGGACAATCTCTGAGGGTGATAAAGGGTTTGGATGAAGAACAGGGTCCCCCAGGTAGAGCAGTCTGTGGGTAGTAGATTGCCTCTCACCTTTGGGGCTGAGGTCCAGGCCCTCCAAGTAGAAAGGACCACTGCGAAGTGCTATCTCCTGTAAGATGATCCCAAAGCTATAGACATCAGCCTTCTGCATGCCTGTGGTTGGCAACGGGTTCCCACCAAGCAGTTCTGGGGCAGTCCACAGCTTCTCTAAAAAGAAGGAACAGGCTGGCCAGGTCCTCAAAAAGAGCCCATAATACTCCCCATGTTCCTGTCATCCCATCTCCCTCTCCCACCCTCCCTAGGTGGAAATGATCAAGGCCAGAGGAGCTATATAAAAGTGAGTTGTGGGGGAAGGCCTCACTGGCATAGAGGGCGTGGCTGTCATCAGGTTCAGCAGTTGATCGGAAGCTGGCCAGGCCATAGTCTGTGATTTTGAGCACAAAACGACTATCCACCACACAGTTGGAGGACTTGAGACTCCCGTGGGATGCAATAATGCTGTTATGGAGAAAGGCCATGCCCTGCAGGATACAGATCAAGTCATGGGTTTGGATCATATATGGCTTAGGATACCCCCTCTCTATGAGATGGGCATTAGCTAGCTGTCTGAAGATCTTGGGACCATAAAAACCATAAGCTACTTTTGGAAGGCATCCTTTGCAGTTTCTACCCAAAGAAGCAGGCTGAATAGGACAGTTATCCCTTCCTGGTACCATAAACAGTATATTGGCACCTAGGCACCAGGGACAGAAGAAATGTTTAAGGGGAAGGACAAGGGGAGCTATCAGTTATTTACCCTAGAAAGAGCAGTCAGTCTTCTGAGTAGTGAACAGAACTAGGAGGGTGAACTCTAAGACTGATGTGACTGACACCCACGATGGCCTCAAATGTACGGCCACCACTAGGAAAACCTAGGAAGGCTAGAGACTCAGCTATCCAGAGTACCTAGATGTACCAAGACTAACCAGTTGTCAACTTTAACATATAACCATGTGTAGGCAGGCAAGTCAGGATGGAGGAGGAAAGTAAGGGCCAGAGAGAAAGTGGAGAAAATAGTAAATTAGTAAAACCCTGGAAAATGGACAAAAGTCGGAGACAGCTGCCCAGCCA